ATATATATTAATGTATTATATATAAATGTATATATATTTTTTGCACTAAATATTCATTAATTTATAAGTATTAGGGGGAAAAAATGAAAATAAATTGTTTAATTTAAAATGGAAGTCGTCTTTGATTTTAAGACTTAAGATGGCAGCACAGGAAAATAGATTTAATTTTTCAAAAATCTATTTTAATTAATTCAGTTTTTTTATTATGATGTCATTGATTACTGTATATAACACGGGTGGAAATGTAAATTTAAAATTCAAATACATTTCCAAAAAGTAATGAACGACTGATGGTTTTAATTTATTTACTTCAAAATAGATAGGAGAGAATTTGCATTTGAAAGTGCTTTTTCTATTTTTTTTTTTCTCTTCTCAATTAAATTTACTAGGAAAATGACAAACAAGAGATAAAGTTAGTATCTAGCATAGAAACAAACTATTTTAGTTGATATGTTGTGCTGTAAAGTAGCATGTTATCTAATCAAGTGAAATAGCATACTAATGGAGGCGATAAAAGCTTACCAGAATTACTTCCATTGAAAATGCCATTTTTAATATATTACTATAAATAGAAAGATAAAACCTTGTAAAGGATGTTTTTGTATATAAATTGTTACATAAATTAGTAAACAGGCCAATAAATTGGGTTTCTTTGTTAAATTTTCTTATTGGCAAAATCTAAAAGAAAAAAGAAATAAATAAAGAAAAACGATCTTTATGGTATTCTTTACTCTAGAATGCACTGAGACAATATTGATCTAAGGAGACTTTTTAAAATCCACTTTTCCTATTGCAATTCTATTCAAAATAAAAAAAGAAAGGAGTTAAAAAATGTTATGAATAATTCGTGAATTTGTTAAGTATACAAGTTTCCAACTTTGTACTGTTCTTCACTATTTGAGAAAATAAAGAAGGGGAAAAACAAAGTAAAAGTTTAAAAAATATCAGATATAGCTGATTGGTCATGTGAAATAAAAATTTTTATTGCTATAAAAGTATATTTTATTGGCCAACAATTTTTTAAAATTCATATTTTTCCACCTATTGGATTTAATTTAAGAGAGGGAAACTTATCAAATTGGAAGAATGGCTATTTTTTTAAGGAGTAGCTCACTTAATATAACAAGTAATATTTCATAACTGGTTAGTTTACATACTTTAAAAGATAAAAAGTATTACTCAATGCAGTAGATAGTCAATAAAATTAAATTATTTCTTATGACAACCAAGTAATTTTAATATAGTATTTTCTATCTCCCTAACTTGAACGATTTTAACTCTGTTTGAGGCTCCATTTCTACAATTAGTCACTTTATGTTGTCAGAGACTTTTTATTTATTGGTTCACTCTAGATAAATCTTCTTTCTCAAAGACAGAGAGAAAAAAAATTAACTCATTCTTATGCATTTATAGAGGTTAAATATCTTTCACTTTAGCAGTGGAACACTATTTTTCAGTCTGAAAAATGTTTTATTTCTATTGAAATTTCTGTGATTTAAATTCCAATACCATAGTCAGAGAATCATGTAATAATTATTTGAACAAAGCTAAAGTTTAATCTCTCATTAATTTTAATTTTTATTAATTCTTCCTTTGGCTTATTAAATAGTCAAGTAAAGATAATGATTAAAAAAATGTTTAATGTTGAATAATAAAGAAACAAGATGAGTTGTATATGTCATTAAATTAATTATAATTTTATATAGGAAAAAAGGTGATCAATTTTCTAGTTTGATGTGGTGAAAGTGGCATATAAGATTGGTAACAAGCCACAGCGATAAATTAATCACATAGCATTCTCATTAAAATACAATTAATCATCGAAAGCAATGAAGAGTTAAAAATCTTGTTAAAAGGGATTAGATTTGTTTTAACACTTGATAATAATTGAACACGAGTATGCATAAAAGAGCCAAGATAATAATTTTTTCACATCTGGCTAAAGCATTCTTATTAATTATATCAAATTATAATCTTGTTAGTAATTTTTTTGTATGCGTTTTTATTAAATTATTTCAACAATCAGTAATTAGCAGTTTGTAGTAAAGTTAATAAGTGTGTGATTGATTAATTTGATTAGATTAACAATAAACAAGTTCAAACAGTAATTTTAGTATTTTTTACAGGGATTTTCGAAATACTTTTTTGAGACTGTATACAGAGAGTTTATTAATATCATTACCAACTCCAGACTTCAGCATGCCTTATAATGTCATATGCTTGGCATGTACAGTGGTTGCACTGGCATTTGGACCAATTCACAACATTACAACAAAGAGGTAAGTTTTAAAAAATTGATTCTTTCATAAACAGAAGAATGTACATAGGTATATATTTGCAGTTTTTAATGATTTTTGTTTCTAAATAAAAAAATTGTATATACAGAATTTCTGTAATGAAACAGAAGAAAGAAACATTAATCACAAAAATCAAAAGGAAAATATTTGGTGGTTCAAACTCCTGTGATGCTAAAGAACTGTTGGAGAGTAAGAAAGAAAAATAAAAGTATTTGTTTACAGTTGAAACAGTTGAAGAAGGGAATAAAAATGAAAAATATTTTCATTCAGGATTTAAGAAAGCTTATTATGATGTAAAAATTATTGCTGTCCCAGCAACTCTAGCACAGAGTTTAAATCCCGACTGTATGTATTTTTTAATTTTATTTAACATTTTACTATTAATTTATTTTATCATATTGTCAGAATTAGAATTTTTATAATTATTATTTTATGTATAATTTTTATTTTTTATATATCATAAGTCAGATTTAAATTTAAATATTCAGAATGTTTAATTTAATAATATATATTAATGTATTATATATAAATGTATATATATTTTTTGCACTAAATATTCATTAATTTATAAGTATTAGGGGGAAAAAATGAAAATAAATTGTTTAATTTAAAATGGAAGTCGTCTTTGATTTTAAGACTTAAGATGGCAGCACAGGAAAATAGATTTAATTTTTCAAAAATCTATTTTAATTAATTCAGTTTTTTTATTATGATGTCATTGATTACTGTATATAACACGGGTGGAAATGTAAATTTAAAATTCAAATACATTTCCAAAAAGTAATGAACGACTGATGGTTTTAATTTATTTACTTCAAAATAGATAGGAGAGAATTTGCATTTGAAAGTGCTTTTTCTATTTTTTTTTTTCTCTTCTCAATTAAATTTACTAGGAAAATGACAAACAAGAGATAAAGTTAGTATCTAGCATAGAAACAAACTATTTTAGTTGATATGTTGTGCTGTAAAGTAGCATGTTATCTAATCAAGTGAAATAGCATACTAATGGAGGCGATAAAAGCTTACCAGAATTACTTCCATTGAAAATGCCATTTTTAATATATTACTATAAATAGAAAGATAAAACCTTGTAAAGGATGTTTTTGTATATAAATTGTTACATAAATTAGTAAACAGGCCAATAAATTGGGTTTCTTTGTTAAATTTTCTTATTGGCAAAATCTAAAAGAAAAAAGAAATAAATAAAGAAAAACGATCTTTATGGTATTCTTTACTCTAGAATGCACTGAGACAATATTGATCTAAGGAGACTTTTTAAAATCCACTTTTCCTATTGCAATTCTATTCAAAATAAAAAAAGAAAGGAGTTAAAAAATGTTATGAATAATTCGTGAATTTGTTAAGTATACAAGTTTCCAACTTTGTACTGTTCTTCACTATTTGAGAAAATAAAGAAGGGGAAAAACAAAGTAAAAGTTTAAAAAATATCAGATATAGCTGATTGGTCATGTGAAATAAAAATTTTTATTGCTATAAAAGTATATTTTATTGGCTAACAATTTTTTAAAATTCATATTTTTCCACCTATTGGATTTAATTTAAGAGAGGGAAACTTATCAAATTGGAAGAATGGCTATTTTTTTAAGGAGTAGCTCACTTAATATAACAAGTAATATTTCATAACTGGTTAGTTTACATACTTTAAAAGATAAAAAGTATTACTCAATGCAGTAGATAGTCAATAAAATTAAATTATTTCTTATGACAACCAAGTAATTTTAATATAGTATTTTCTATCTCCCTAACTTGAACGATTTTAACTCTGTTTGAGGCTCCATTTCTACAATTAGTCACTTTATGTTGTCAGAGACTTTTTATTTATTGGTTCACTCTAGATAAATCTTCTTTCTCAAAGACAGAGAGAAAAAAAATTAACTCATTCTTATGCATTTATAGAGGTTAAATATCTTTCACTTTAGCAGTGGAACACTATTTTTCAGTCTGAAAAATGTTTTATTTCTATTGAAATTTCTGTGATTTAAATTCCAATACCATAGTCAGAGTTGATAAATTGACAGATTCATAAACTAGGATTTTTAAACTTTTTCTTTTTCTTAGTAAGGCAAAAATATATATATATATAATGTAAACCTTCTAAAAAAGAAATGACCTTTGACAGATTTAAAAAAAATACACATTTGTTGAAATATGTCTTGTGACGTTTTTCAAACTGAATCTATTTTATTTCTAGAAGCAATTTTTAGAACTAAAGAAGATTTTTTTAAGATAACTAGTCATTCCAAGCTTCGGATTTCTAAAGAAATAAAATAAAATAAAAAGAGAAAGCTAATGACAAATATCTTCCTGCTTTGTTTCCCACTGGAGATTTATATTTTGTCATTTCTCTTATCATTTAAATTTATCTATAACAATAGAAGGTAAATGCTAAGAGTTTTTATTTAACATAAAATGTATCAAGCTCCTTTCACTTCCTGATAAGGATTTTTTCTTTTTATCTGCCTAGAATAATGGAGATTTGTATTCAATCTATATTCTTCTGTTAGAATTCGAACCACTTATTCCCAGAGGGTTTCTTACAGTTTAAAATTTCTTTTGCATTCTATGGCAGTATTCTTCAAACTTCCATTTAAAAATTTTCTTTCACTTCTCAACAAGTACTGTACATACATTTTTTCCCCACCTCCTTTCTTTCTAGTATTTACATCTTTCAGCATTTTAATATTTTTTTTCTTTAACTTTTCCTTTTTTCTGAACAAAAATAAACTGTTGTCTATGTATAGGGTAAGCTGATACTTTCTAAACAAATTTTTTGAATGTATATTCTAAAATATATAGAGAAGGTACACTTTATGTGAAGGAAAATTCAAAGACTGCCTCTATATTATAGCAAGCTTATGTATTCAAATAATGTTCTATATGCTATAACTTGCTCAATGTGTAAAGAGATATCCTTCAGAAGAAGATAAAATGCAGAAATATAAAATAATTTACATAAAAATATAGTCTGAAGGAATGCCATAACCAAATAATGTTTTGAAAATATTTAAAGTTCTTCCATAATTTAATAATAATGATATTTTCTTATAAACAAAACTAAAACGAGTATGTTTAATTTGATTAAAGATCATTCTACAAGTTATATAAAAACTATTTAACGTCACCATACGATTTAATATTAAGTAATCTGATATAGTTTACTACTTTTTTCTTATATACATTAAAAAATGGCTACTATTTAAACGTTTTACCGATCGTTAAAATTTTTTATTAAAGTACTTTGTGCTTTTAATTTTATAACATATTTTTTATTACCATTCTTCTACAGAGCCATTTAGATCGCTGCTTTCTTTTTTCTTTTATATATCAACGTTGAAGCCTCCCCAAAACATGTTCTCCTTTCCTAAAAGAAAAGAAGGAAAAAGTTCCTCTTTCTTTTTTGGATCGGGTAAAGACATAAATTTTGTATAGTTCATCGATCCGTTTAATTAAACGCCTTAGAGATGTGCCATATTGTCAGTTTGATGTAGCAAATACAGCGATTGTAAGCGTTTATATACAGCATCATTCTGCTGTTTAAATGCAGAATGGATACACTTTACATTCATCATCAGCGTATAATAATTACGGCTACTTAAACTAGGATTTCAAATTCGTTAATTAAAATATCCTTTTTTTTTCGTTAATTTCGTATTAAAGCATGCCTTTATGCATTTATTTAAGCGATTATTCGCTTTTTTACGATAGAAAACATACGTTAAAATCATTAATTTTCTAAACTCTACACGCGACTTTGTTGTAAATATCGATTTTTTACATCTCCGAGTTGATAAAATTAATGTTTACGGCTGAACTTAAAAAATAATCTTCTCTTTTTCTTTTATTGTTTTTGGCCACCAAATAAATTTACTGGAATTCTCTTAACTGCATGCAAGTTGCAGTGAATGATTGGTTTCTATGATCAATATATCTTTGGAATGTTAACATTTCCTTTTTTTTCCTAGATCATTTTGTTGTTTCATACAAATCACACTTGTTTCTTTTACGTAAAACTAAATAATTAACGCTTAAAAAAACCCGAAAAGATCGAATTTTTGGCGATTCGTTTCTTAGATTGGATAATAACTTTTCATCCTTATTATCTTTAGTTATGTGGAAGCATTCAATCATCTCTTCTAGGCAACTTTGAAAGGTGTACGACCTTCATATTAACCATAAACTATTGATTCTTGGTTCCTCGACTACCGCATTCTACATTCTCCCAATACTTGGCTGACACCTTTCGCATCGAGTTGTCTTCCTCTTTAGATATGATTTCGATAGGAAACCCTCCATAAACGTCAACCCGTTGGAGCCGTTGTTAAAAATTCATAACTGAACTTTGCAACTAACAATCGTTCCGTAAATTGCTTTCTTTTTCAGAATTAGATTAAAATTTATTCCTTTTTCTTTCGTTATTATGGTATAAGGAATATATATTTTAAAATTATGTAATTCTTATAAGAATATAATTTTTACTAATCAAGTTATGTATTCAATTAGTAGATTATTATTAAGCACGTTAAAATTTAATCAATTTTTATTATAAATAATTAAAAATTACTTATTTTAAATCTTTTCGTAGTGAATATTTAGTAGTAGTATTTTTTTTTTTTACATTAGTTATAAAATTATAAGGACAAGTTAAATCCTGTTTTATTGCTGCTTGAAGCAGGTTGTTTAAAAAGGACATGTTTTATTTTAATGCAAATTTTTAACAAGATGCTTCTTATAATTCTCTGGACGACAAAATACAAAAGTAATTTGCATTTTATAACATCAAGTAAAACTAAACAAATTATTTTCGTTTAATAAGGAATGACTTGCAAGCAGAATTTTATAATATAAAATTATATATATATATACAATTTTGGATAAGTTTAAATTACTATAAAGGAAAGATATTCTTTTAAAAAATCTTTTATATCATATCAGAATTCCTTTTAATATAATGACTTTTCTAGTTTCAATGCGAGCTACAAGCTATTTATAGAAGTAGAACCTGATCCAAATTGAACGTTTTTACTTTCTATAAAACTAGGAAAGTGATTTTTATTTTAAAAAAAATATCATATAGTAACATCGTAGTATTTCATTTGTTTTTCATTGTAGCAAAATAACATTCCATATTTAGTTCCTGTTAAATAGAAAACTTAAATCATCTCGTACAATTGAACTGCGATACAAATCACCTCTTCTCAGTTCCCATAAATGCAGAAAACAAGAAAAAAACTCAAATCGTCTCATTTTCTTTTATAACTTAGCAAAGTTTCTTCTCACTCACGCTCTTAACATTGCTATAAAAACGTGAATCGTTCGTTTTAGTCCCAGTAGAATGCAGAAAAACCTGCAAATCACCTTTTACAGTCTGGCAGTACAGTAAAGAAAAACAAAAATGCAAACTCGCCCCCTCTTTTCTTTTTCAATCCACCTTTAAAAACAGGC